ATGGCGAGGACCTTTCAAAGTCCTATCTTTTGACGAGCATACAGAAAACTACACCGTCCAGATGGATAGACACATGTACCGCCACAATACTGTAGTTTTCCACGCCTCTGCTGTCAAGCGATTCCACCCAAATGACGACTCCAAGTTCCCTGGAAGAATCCACTCTCAACCTATACCTATTATCATTGACAAGAAAGATGAATGGGAAGTTGAGGAAATCTGGGACCACCGCCTTTGGTATGGAAATGATCAGTTCCTAGTCAAATGGAAAAGATACCCAACGAGTGAAAACAGTTGGAAACCACTAGAAGGACTAGAGCACGCTATGGATATGGTGAAAGAATGGTGGAAGGACAATATGCTAAATGAATCCCTTCCTCCAACGATCAATTACATCACAATGTGCTGGACACCTACAATGCCTGAGATGGAGCGATGGTAGACGGAACTCGAGGCAAGAGATGGGTTTTGGGCACCATACATTGAGTCGGAATTCAAAAGTAGCAATGAGGAAATTCAAGCTATGGAGCAGGTTCTGGACAACCTTATCTGAACACCAATCACCATCCAAATACCATAACGATGTCAAACTATGTGGAACACAATATGAGGCTGCGACAACAGATTGTTGGACTGTTGTTGAACTGCGATGTTATCCAACTTGAAGACTACTTCAAATTCCTCTGGATAGACTACTGTCCTGATTGCGACCACGCTTGAGTTGATATACAGCACGAATCTAGTATCCATGACTACTGTGATTTACATTTCTTTGAGTCTAAATGTTTTCTTAAAGTTTCTTCTTGTCCCTGGTGTGACACTTATGATGAAGAGCTGATAGCGGAAACTGAAGCGCTTAGTTTCTCAGACTCTGCTTTTGATGATTATTAGGTTTTGTTTGTTTAAACAGTTGTTTTGTTTTGGAGAATGTAACTGGTATGGGTACTCAGTTATTGGTTTTGTTTTATGTTTTGTTTTAAGTATCACTTTGTTACTTGGTTTGTTTTAACGTTATCGTTTGATACTTGGTTTTGTTTTATGTTTTGTTTTAAGTATCACTTTGATACTTGGTTTGTTTTAAGTATCATTTTATACTTGGTTTTGTTTTATATTTTGTTTTAAGTATCGCTTTAATACTTAATTAGTTTTACCAGAGTGTATCGATTGATACCTTTGATTAGTTTCGTTCATGCTATACATGAACAGATTTTATATTTAAAGACTGCCTGTTTCTACGATAGAAAAGGCAGACTTCAACAGATAGTATTTCAATATACTTGGTTAAACGGTTACTTCTTTGGTCCTCAGTACACCCTTGAAGCCTCCTTTAGGTCTCAGCTCTCGCCTCCTTTCTGGAAGAGCAGGCCACCTGCCAACTATTGTATCTATTACAGATAATGTGATTAGCACCTTGCGAACACGTTATAACACAAATCACTCCCCAAACCATCACTGTAGTAAGTTTCTGAAACTTAAGTACTAAGCAATCCTCATAATATTCTTCACTTGGCTTGCCAGTCATCCAAATTGTTCCTGACAACTGACTACAATTGAAGGCAGCCTTATCCGAAAAAATGACATCACCCCTGTCCAACTCCTTCCAGTCTTGAAAGGTAAGCCCTCAATCCAGCCGTTTCTCTTTGCTTTCACCTTTCAAAAATGGCTTTACATAAGTAATATGGTAGTTATAGCCCTCACTTCGAAATATTCGATGGAGAATATGATTCGATTCCCTTATGCCTACCAATTTGGTGATCTTGGTGAGTGGTAGGTGACGGTTGTAGGAACTTTCAGTTGCTTTTTCAATCAATTGTTGTTTAATTGGCATGGTAAAAATCGGTTTACGTCCTTGTATATTGGTAGTATTACCTTGAGAGCTAACTGGAGAATAATTGATAACATGAGGGAGGCTTCCCATTGGTACATTGAACTCTTCGTGTAATTTGCGATATGTTTATCCACCTTGGTAATAGAGTCGTTAAATAGTATCATGTTTGGTCGCCATCACAATTCTATACTTCTTCACTACTGTCAGAGGTCTTTCTTCTTCTCTCTCCACTGACTCTCTCTCTCCTGAGTCCCCTCCTCTCCCCACTGAGTCCTCTTTTTCTTCTCTTTCTAGCAAGCCCTTCTCTCTCTCACTCTGCCCCACTTGTTCTCTCCCTTCTTTTTTTCTTTTGTCCTTATCGTCATATCTATCATTATCTTTCCCATCTCCTTTCCCTCTCCTTGTAACGATCCCCTTTCAGATAGTTAGTTCTTGGCGACGGGGAACGATACTTATCTTTCCTTTCCCTTTCTTTCTTTGTCTTACGATAGTTCTAGGCCTCTGCCTATGTTACCGATAGTACAAGATCTTTATCTTCTATCGGAAACACCTATCGTAAGCTTTCTCTAACTCGTCTTCGTAACAAGTGCTTCCTGGCATAATGATAACCTTGCAATAAGGATAAAGATCGTAAAGGTGTTTTATAGTTGTTAAAGTAATATGTAGGAAAAGTACTTAGAACAAAGCGTGAAGAACCTATCTTCCTCGGCCGCATCAGCCTCTTTATATACTGTTCTTCCCGCCTTTAATCATGTGACCTCAAGTGGTCACATGCGCAAAACCAAATCATAACAAACTAGTCATGTGACCAAAGTGATCACATGCTCGAAAC